GCGACAGTAATGCCTGACAAAAGGCTAATAAGGGGGGCATATTCACAATGTCAGTGACCATTTCCTACCTAAACGGCGCCTACTCTTAAGTCGAAAAGTGCCTCATATCTTTCAAAATGTTTCTCAACAGCCCCAGGATCTGCCAGTACTGCCGTCACAGCATGGGGAATGGTTTGTGTTGGAAAAGTGTCTATCGACTGCTTTCCTCCGCTGTGATTTTCTGGGTACCTTTCTGGATTCCGAATGCTCTTCTCTTCAGAAGAGTGGACGATGTAGAACGGTTCTTCTCTTGCCCAAAGCATGTTTAGGTGCTCCAGAGGAGCTGCCTGACTCTCTGAATTAAAGGCCATCTCAGTGACGAACCCATTGACTGATTGACTCCCTGGCTGAATTTCTGACTGGCAATAGTGACTCCTGGAGGAGTTGCCTTCTGGCTTTGATTCCATCCTGGACCTTCAATGACTTCATTTCAATTCATTCTTCACTTAATTGTCCTGCGGTACCCTGGATGCAGGCCTTTACCCATCGCAAACTGTTGCCTGCTGGTTTTAAGCACATAACATATGGAACTCCCTTATTAGCAATAAAAGTTTCAAATCTCTTGTTGTCTTTTTCCAATATCTATTTTTCTATCTCCACCTCTCATAGTACCCCTAGCCAGCAGCCATGTCACCCTGCACCTTATAGCTAGCAGCCCACTAAAGCTCAGCAGGTGGGAGCCTGATCAGTACCTGGATGGGAGACCTCCTGGGAAAGATGAGGTTGCTGCTGAAAGAGGTGTTAATGGAGGGCACTCATCCTGCAGTCTGTGTGGGTCCTACTGTAATACTACAGTATAAAGACAGGGACACTATGCTGTAAAAAGGTGCCGTCCTTCAGATGAGAGGTAAAACCAAGGTCCTGATTTCATTTATCAAATTGGCTTCATCACTCTGTTCTCCTCCCCACTGACCACTGAGAGCTGGTGTGTGGGGAGCGTACTGGTGCACTTTGGTTGCCGTCACGTCATCCTGGTGATGCCGCACATTGAGAGTGGAGGGGAGTCCCTAGACCCCTTTACAAAACCTTGTGTTGTTGTCCAGAAAAGCGCTACATCATCATCATCATACCCTTCCTTTCTTTATTGCTTACTTTATATTCCCCTATATTGTTCCTTCTATACTGGCACGTGAATTTGTCATCGTCTCCACCTGCATTCCGCCTTAATTTTCAGTCTGAGGCTTTAAATAGCATCTGCATTTCACACAGTAAAAGATGAGTTCAGGGAAACGTATTTCTGTTACTTGTCTTTTTTTAATGAAGGAGCCATCGGCAATTAAGATACACCTGGGCCAATCGGCGACGGCTGCTTATCAGCCTTAATTTACACATCTGGTTTCCTTCGGCCTCTGCCTTTCACTTTTTCATTTGCTTCTACTTAAAAGATGTCATGTTAACTAAGTGCTCCGGCTGTGAACGAGCAGAGATAATGAAAGATAACTCACACGTTCGCTCAGCTTTGGTAATCTCTTCCATGCTTCAGCCAGGAAAGAAAATATATATTTTTTTCAAAACAGGTTGGAACACTGAGGCTGTGATATTTTTGTTCTTAGTGACGTCACCAGATACCATCCGTTTATAGTTAGTTCAGTTTTGCACGCTGGACTATAATAGACTGGACTATTTATAGCCGACTCAACTGCCTCTCCTGGCCTAGCGATGACTCTTCTGCTGTATTTCCCTATTCCAGC